TAGCGGCGCAAAAATTATTCTCGTCTCTTTAGTTACAATAGTTCAGATACACACATGCGATAAAAAAATTGCACACTTGCAATTGTTTTTTTTACGTTTTTAACAACATTAGGCTGCTGACGACCAACAAAAACTGGGCCAATGCGTCAATGCAATAACTGACTGTGTCGATTATGACTAACCGGCATGAAAACGTCATTATTAAGTACATTGTTTGTCGTCAGTAGCCGACCGAATAGAAAAGGTTAGAGAGACTAGCCTAATTAAATAACCAATACTGATATTTAAAAAAATTAAACATTTTTTACAGCACAAAATCTGTATAATTAAATGTTTCCCTTTATTCATGGTTGTGTTCACCTTCACACCCAATTAAATGCTTCTCGTTTTCGATAATCAGTGTAAATTTGCACCCCATATTAGTGCAATACCACAGTTTTTCACTGCCCTTCTGGTAGAAGGTGTAGTTCTCAAATTCCAGTAGCTTCTCACCAAACCTGGTCGAGGTAAACTGGAGACTCAAATCTGTAATTAAACCAAAGATTGCCAATACATATCAATGGTGTAGTATTTAATAAGCTAATGTCATGCTAAGCAGTAGATGGAACCGTATTAATAAAGATGATAATGATAATGAGACTCTAGATCTAGGAACACACATGCAATCAAAACTCAATAGTAATGCAGTTCTCAGAACCTCAGTTCTATTGGCTGTCGAGGTCGCGGATGCGTAGGTCATTTAATAAATATCCATCCTTACGAAGTCAATTAATTTCATACATTCTTACCACAGTTTAACCATTTCAGTCACACTTTTATCTAGTTACGAATATATTTTATTTTATTATACTGAAATGCTTAAAAACTAATGCAAAAAATTTTTAAGCTTGACTTCTAAAATTGAATTTCTAAGAAAAGGTTAGCTAGAGTGACCAATAAGACTGAAAGAGTTAAACTGCAAAAGAAATGCAGTTCATATATCTCTTGAGATAGTGTACTTCACACTGATAAAGTAACCAAAATCGGTGAATAAAAGGTATGTTTTTCTTCCACTAACACTTTCATTAGTAGAAAAAAGAATAAAACACACACCAAACATTCAGGGGGATTTTGGTGATGGTAATTTATTCGCTCGGCTGGCCTTACCCATAGTATAAATAGGAAAAACCAATGTTTACTTAATATAAAACTCAATTCATATAAAAAACGATTTATTCTCTCATACTACTAAATGTATAATTTGCTAAATACTTTTTATAACTGTAATTTATAATGGTCAATTCCGCCAATCAATAATTACTACATTGACGTCAATGAGTTAGATCATAATACATTGAAATCAATCAGATATGAGCCTATTGGCGTACACCGGGCCCAATTCCAGCCTCAGTAAAAAAAAACTTAAGTTCTAAAACGATAGATCTTTCCTTCAGGAGTTCGATGTATCCGGGGCGGTTCATGGTCGTGCCAACCCATCACCTTGACTAGCTCCCCATATTTACTAGTAATGATCCTTGCATGACAGCCTGACAGCTTCTTCGAGCAGTACCACCTGGTCTTCGTGTGCATATGAAAATATGTGAAGTTCCTGTACAGAAGAATAATGCCCCTTCCACGACTGCTCGGTAGGAACTCCAATTCATTCCCTGTGTAGTAAAACGTATAATTTAATTTAAATTGTACCTTTGTAAATAAAACTTACAATTAAATGAATGGTTTCATAAATTAGTAGTACCTACCTGATTGGTGTTAGTCAATTCTATTTTATATTTTCTTCATGTAATGAATTTATTTAATACGTTACTTATATGTATAATTTATACCGAAATGAAAGTCTGAAATTATGAGATGAACAGTGTACTTTGAGATGATATAATTTTACGACTGTAAAAATCTGGAGACATTTTCAAATTTTCATATCCACGATAAAAAAAAGTACTAAGAGCCAACTAGGTTAAATAAAACAATCTATATTATAATATAAAAAAATATGTATTTCAGACAACCAATTTAGGAATCACTATTCAATATAAACAATCACTTCGATTCATCATTAAAAAATCAATTAAAAATAACTTAAATTAAATCGCTTGTAGCTAATCAGTAGGTATCGCATACCTAATGTATTTATTTAGATAAATAATAAAAAATAGATTGCCTTTTTGCCAAATAAGATCTACTTCCTTAAACCTACTTTGTGAGTAACCTATCGTCCGAATACTGAAAGGCTAATCAAATTTAAGTTGTACTTGCCATCTCTGTCATCAAATAAAATCACAAAGCGCGAATAAATTGAGTAGCGTTTGAGTATGTCATCGTAAATGGGGCAAGTTTATTGCAAAACGCTTGATATTTAACATAATAGAACTAATAAACTAACTATTCGAATCTTACAAGTACAAAATGTATGTTCAAGTACTATGTTCATGTAAAAAAAAAATATAGATTGATTCAGTAGTGGCTGGCTACTAAGCTGACCAATAGATATAAAAGATGATGGTTTTCTTAAAAAGGATACAGTTTAGTATAACAATAGCTGCTACTTTTTTACCTGCTTACCAAATTACTTGGCCGACACTAAGTTTGTATACAAACACTAAATGCTGACTCACATAATTATTATGTACTTTAAAAGAAAATGTAATGAGGAATAAGATGTTTTAGTAATTAAACTTAAGGGTAAATTTCGAACTTTGAGTAACCGAGGTGACTAATAAAACCCTACCTTCTCTTTAAGAGAAGGGTCTCCTGCTTAGCAGTGACACAGAACAAAAAGTATGTAATAATCATAATAAAAATCGGAATCTTTCAATCCCCTTAAAAGATTGGTAACAATAATTTCAAATTTTTCATACACTGGGTCAAGAAACTGACCCTTCACAAATAGAAGAATCCCAAAGAAGATTCCTTAATCAATAAAGTTCAAAATTTTCTCTCTTCCTTACTGTCCTATTCCGTTTAGCTGACTTTAGAAGATCCTGAGGAGTATGGTACTTAAATGTCCCTGAATACTCGTCCTTTATAAAAATTGGTGGTGGATGATTATGCTTCGTGTAAGCTGCTATCATATTCCTATCTGCATCGAAGGTCAGACGCGCCTGACATTTCTTCTGCGAATATTTAGAACAATATGCATTGGTCTTTTTTGTGTTTTTAAAGGAGTATGTGTATTTCTGGTACAGCACCACTTGTTTCTTTGCAGAAAGGGGCAACATTACGTACTCTTCTGTAAAGGATAAGTTGGTATTAAAGTCTGCTTTTTTGTGTGTATTTAAAATGAACATTTCGGGATATTATCTTGGAAGGTATACAATGTCCCAAACTTATCTACCGTTACGGCACAGGCTCGGTGTTTTTTTGCTTTAAAAATAATACAAAAAAGCGCTTTGTCGGCACGCTAGCGGCGTGCGGACGGCGCGCTGGCGGCCCGTTTACGGCGTTTTGTATTGACGTTATGAAATATAACGTCAATACAACATACAACTTAAAGTTCATAATTAAATGACAATTTAAATGCTGGGTTGGAGCCGAGTCGGTTAAGTGCTACGACCTTAAGACCCTGGTTATAAGTATCCTATATATAGTATGGTTGGTTGGTGGTTGTTGGTGGTGATTAATATGGTAGATAGAGAGAGAGATTAAGTAAATCATAATATACCGTAAGATTTATCTTAAACAATTATAAAAAAAGTAAATTGATTTTTTAAAAAAATTCACACCAAAGATTCAATTCAAATTAGCATTCACTTTTAAAAATACGTTCTGCGAATATTTTGTTATTTCAGCCATGCTAGGGGCTATAGTCATGCGCATCGAGCACGAGTGTCACGCCCACTCTAGTACTCGATTTTACTCGAGTAACCTCGGTGATCAACTGTCAAACACCGCGAGGACACCGGTAACCGCAACCTATTGTTCTTTAATTGTGTCTATAATTACGGTACCCAAAGGGTTAAATATAACCCTAATATGTCTCATTTTCTCTACATATTTCCATATCTTTGTACCACAGTAAATAGGCCGTCAGGGTTTTTATATAACTTAGGAGGTGGGTGATTATGTTCCATGGTATTTTTGGCACCCTGCAGAGTGCCATCAGGGTGAAATGTAAGCCGGGCTGGACATTTTTTCCAACTATACTTGGAGCAATAAGCGCGACTTCTCGAAGAATTCCGGAATGAAAAAGTGTGGCCCTGGTACAATACTAGATGTATCCCTGAAGTCATTGTAATTACCTTGCACCCTAGAATTAGAAGATCACAATTATTATTAACACTAGAACGATTACAACGTCCAGTCGTTTATGAGTACAGAGACGTACAAATATATATAATTACACACAGAATTAAAATACAATTAAGTTTACAATGTGAGGACTAAGTAGCTAGAGGCGTCGACAATTTATTGGTTAAATGATATAAATAAAAGCGTCCGTTGTTACATAAATTAATTATATTATTTATTAGATACATCTTTACACTACAAACTATTAAAAAATAATTAAGTTCTAGAGTGTAAATATTACTATATAGATTGTATTTTACATCCATAACAACTTTGGGTCAAAATTTAAAATTAACTTGAATAAATTAGAAGCACTTAAAACTCGGTTTTTCAAACAGGATGAAGAGACACAGAATAGGATTAAAACATTTTAAAATTTTTAATTGACCTCTCGAAGTCTAATCGCCTTGTTTTACATTACTATAAAAAATTAAAAATCAGAATGTCCAATTAATGTGACGGAACCTTAAAAAACTACTTACCTTAATAATACTTAGTTTCGGACATTAGCCCGTTCAAACAAACAAACACACAATTCTTGAGCTTTATAATATGTACAGATAATAAATACTTATAGACATAAAAATATTAAACAATTGGGTACTTGTCTCCAATAAAAATAAATTATATCAACTGTTCAAAACAATAAGATATTAAAAAATAATCACACTTCCATTAATTGATTTTATGACCAACTTAATTTCAGTATTTTTCCAGCAAATTTTTAAGAAATAAGTAATCTGTTTGACGCTAAGAAAACGTGACGTCACAATACACGATCTCGTACAAAATTCATAGAAAACTGTCGTTCTTGACAGTTCGAAAAAAGTATTGTATTTGACTAGTTAGTTAGGCAAATACCCAATTATGAACAGAGGCCTTAGTACGAATTTTCTTTTTCATTTAAAGTAATCGAAACGAAACCTCGTCCGCTCTGATTGGTTGGTTCATTGGAGCCGGCCAATCACAGCGCCGAAAGCGTACTCGTATCTATTACTTTCAACGTAAAACAAATTCGTACTAAGGCCTTAGGACGTGGCATTTGCAGTTATTCAAGTTTTATACTACAGTAAAAAACTTGCCGTCATAATTTTTATACAACTTGGGAGGCGGGTGATTATGTTCCATCGTGTTTGTGGCAGTGCGCAGAGTGCCATCAGGATGTAACTTAAGCCGGGCTGGACACTTCTTCAAAATATACTTGGAGCAATAAGCGTGCCTTCGTGATGGATTCCGGAACGAGAACGTGTAACCGTTGTAGTACACCAGTTGTTTGCCAGAAGACATTGTGATGAGCTGGCACTCTACAATTAGAAGACCATCTTTTTGTATAATACCTAAGACGTACTAATTATTTTAAAATGTCGATTTACTCACGTTAATATTAATTTTAAAATCTACTAGTTTTAGTTGTCTACGCGTCCGAAAACGTTGCGCATGAGGAAGAGTCCCACTGTGACTCCAAACTAGTAGAGCTCGTCTTAATATTTACGTGAAAAGATGATCTTATTGCCACTACAGTTACGTTTTACACTTTTTACAGTATAGGATGCAAAAGAACAGACCCATTACCCGAAGATAAGCGATTAGTGTCATTCATAGATACCTGCAATACCGAAGGAGTTGGAACTATATAGCCAGCCTAGCTATATGCTATACCATGTAGCTGTGTTTCATCGAAATTGGTTCGGCCTTATCCAAATCCTATAATCGTATGAACACATGTACAGAATTATAAGAGAACTATAAACATACTCAGTTGGTTATATCTGTTATAAGAAAAAATAAATCAGTTAGATATTCAGTATTTTAGTCTGTAATGATAAATGTAATAAATATAATATAAGTAGTTCTCCTTGAAACGGCACGTATCGTCAGGTTTCTGATGATGGAGCTTTAACCACCGGTAACTTGGACCATGATCTCGCTACTGGTCGGGTCCTTTTTCATATTTTTAAATATTATATATATTTTTCGGAAGTATTATTTAAATGTAATTTTAGGGAATTTTCAATAAACATGTGGAATGTAATATGTGTGGAATAAATAAATAAATACATTATTACATAGATCTCTATTCCACAAAACTATTTAATATTCACGACAGACTTAAATCTTAGAAAACAAATATTGAATATTCGCTACAAAACTTATGCCTCATCCGGCGAGAGTAGTTCTAGTGAGGCAAGAATCCCAAGTGTTTTCCTCAAGTGGTCGAATTATGACCTTTGTACTGGCTCCTTGTTCCAACATGTTTAACTTTTGAAAAAGATGAATTCACCCGATTTCGTGACATGATACGTAGGACGCTCGTGAGCATGTTCAATTATCGCTTCCGATATCGTCCGTCCATCTTCAGCCATTTTGACCCGTGCTTTGCACCCAAATTTCCTCTTGGAACAATACCAGTACCGGTTACCCATTTGCGCAAATGTGAAGCCGTCTATCATCAGCAACTTGTGTTTGAAAGGACCTGGTATTAGCGTGTAGCCTGGAAATAAAATTAAAAATAAAGGAATACAAAAAAAGTAAAGAAAAATTAAAAAATAATATATATTTTTGCAAATCGGTTACAAGGTAACAGTTTTACACCGAAGAGTCCGGCATTTCCTATCGGACCAATCCCAGAAGATATGACAATGAACACATGCCTAAACAAACTTAAATAAACATCAGATATTCTTGAAATAAAGGACGGTTCAATTAAAATAATATCTATATTTTGGAATATTGAATTTTTTTTCTAACTCTGTTGTAATATCCTAAAAGATTTTTTACTGGCAGCAAACGATCAGATGCATCGTTTGGTGGTAAGCAATCGGCGCCGCTGATGGACACCCAAATGGAAAATATGTATATCTTACATCAATGAACCAATTTTCAGGAAGTGAGGGATTTAAATAAATATAACATATCATATAAAATACGTTCGTGTAATACGATAAAATCTTGAGTACCTATTTATTTTCAACGTGTTGTGTCTAGGTATGAGTTCGATATATCAATTTAACTTAATATCGATCCGTGAAAATGTCGTGCGGACGAACGCGCGAATGAGGCCGGTCATATATGAAAGACGACGCAGCGATAACGCAACGCAGCACAACGGATAAGTAAGGCCGGGGCCTTTCTTGTGGAAATCGTGCCGATATTTGAAAACGGTTTTCGATATCGATACGAAAACGCACATATCTAGTTATTCCTCAGAAAGATGTATACACCAGATTTTGTGATATAATATGAAGGAGGCTTGTGATGATGTTCATTCACAGCTTCCCGTATGGTTACTCCATCATCAGCCATATGAATCTTGGCTTTACATCCAGTATTCTTCTTAGAACAGTACCAATTGCGTTTACTCGATGATGATGCAAATGTGTAACCATTCAGCATCAGCAACTTGTGTTTGTAACGACTTTGTATGAGTTTATAGCCTGAAAAAAACTTTACTTAAAAAAAAAACCTTTTTCAGAGACAGAAGAATAACGTACCTAATAAAAATAATGATCAATATAGTAAAAAGAAAGAAATGGATGGTGAAAAAAACTGAAATAACCTACAGTTCAGTGACAAATCATGTCTATATTTTGGAATATATATTCCATAATATAATATTATGTATAATTTTATTCTTACTCTTGTAATTTCATAAAAGGTCTTTTTATGGGACTTTTTTAAGGGGAGGAAATCATTGAATGACTGCTCCCACCTGGGTGAGTCGGGAGGGAGTGTCAGACTCTTACTGACTAAAAACCACCCCGTTCCTTTTCCTGCACATCGAGCCGGAGCCCCGGTTACCCGTTAGGTTCTCCAGGTCGGCTTATTAGATGGTAAGCAATCAGCGCCGCTCATGGACACCTAAACGGAAAATATGTTTAACATATATCACGGAACCAACTTCATGTACATTTTTTAACCAAGGTTTTATAATAACCATAATGGAGGTAGTTCTGTCAACAGGAAAGGTATAACATTCTGATGATTAAATTTGACCCAAACAAACAAACGGAGCAAGCTAAGTAAAACCATTTAATAATATAAACATGCCATGAAATTTCCATTCATGCGAGTAATAAAGAAAAATCGACAGGCTACAGGTTCCAAGATTCAGCGCGGCCTGTTCCTTAGATAGATGTATTCACCAGATTTTGTAATATAATATGAAGGAGGCTCGTGGGTATGTTCATTTACAGCTTTCCGTATGGTTACTCCATCATCTGCCATATTAATCTTGGCTACATCCCGCATTCTTCTTAGAACAGTACCAATAGCGCTTATTCCCCGATGGTGCAAATGTGTAACCATTCAGCATCAACAAATTGTTTTTCGAACCACCTGGTATAGAATATAATCTAGAAATGAATTGAAAAGTTTTTTTAAAAACAAAAGCATTCCTAAAGTAAAAATCTGTTAGTAACTTTTATGTTTTAGAAAAAAAAATTCTTTCTTATCCTACATTTTACATAAACATCTCAACGTTTTCGTCAATCTGTTCTTTACCTGAACGAAACTGATCTTAGACGATTCCAAACGCAATAAAAAGACAGTCAAAATACAAAAGACAATCAAATATTACTATGTAAAAAAAAGTAATAGATAAAGAGTAGATAACTTTTTAGTTAGATATTTTTTTCCCAACTCCTGAGTACTGGCTCCATGTCCATGTAGAAATGGATTTCTTACGAGAAAGCGCATTCTGCGATGAGACTGTCCATTGTACACATTCTTTTTATTTTTAAAGTTTTTCTTTATGTTTTTATTTGTAAAATAAAGTATGTAAAAATAAAATAACCGGTAAATATTTTTTAAATAAAATACAGTTGCATGTTATACAATTACTTTTATATTTTCGAACATAATTTTTATTCTTAGTCTATTCAAGTTTAAATCACTTGGAGAATGGAATAATATGTATAATATAACAATACGTATAATAATATAATTATAACTATACTGATATAATAATGTACTTCTAATGTCACTGAGGCAATTTTTGAAAATTTTTTAACAAAAGAATTTAGCTTCTAATTGAATATATCACATACTACCCACATATTAGTATAAAACTACGCAACGGATTGAGATACCTTTTTTTAATAGACAATGATTAAAGAAGGTTTATATGTATTTTTCTACACATACAAAGCTACGAGCAGAAAGCTAGTTATAACTGGGTACCGAGAGCAAGTTATTTTTACGTTAACGAGATCGAAACGTTCTGCCTTTAGATTGGTTGGTTAACTTGGCAGGCCAATCAGAACGTCGAACGTCTAAACGTGTCGATCGCATAACGTAAAACAAATTTGACTAGGCACTATACACATTTGTATCGTACTATAAACGTTGATCATGGTTGATTTTGACCTCAAATTCATTGTCTCAGAAAAACATATTGGCCAGTTTTCGTGACATAATATGGAATAGTGTCGTGAGTATGTTCAGTCATAGCCTCCTTTATTGTCACCTCGTCAAGATGCATCTTAATCCTAGCTTTACATCCAGCAGCCCTCTTAGAACAGTACCAATACCGTTTACTGCGCGCTTGGGCAAAGGTATAACCTCCCAGCATCAGCAACTGGTTCTTCGATCCACCCGGTATCAGAGTATAACCTGAAATATTGTACATTAATTAAGCAAACAATTTAAATAGAACTACATAATGATTGATTTCAAATGTTAATGCCCGCCGCACACTCGCTCACACTCTTTCACGACACTGCGTTGCTTTGACAATGGTGGGCACGTGTCTCCCAATTCTTTTCACAAGTCGTACATCAGTCATTGTTTCTACCATTCGTAGACGAAAACAAAGCAAGATGGACATTGGCGCCGTACGAGTGTTAGTGTCGGCATGAACGCGCGGGCCAAAGAGATAGAGATATAACCAGATGCTGGGGTTGACAAAAAAACAAATGATAGTTCTATAAATAAAATACATTTATTTTTTGAATATATAGTAGTGGCCCAAATAGATAGAACAGTTCTTAAAACCTATTTCTCACTTCTTGGACCGAGTCCTCGTGAATACATACTCTCCAGAATCCGATATGTAGTACTGAGGAGCTTCGTGATTATGAAAGTTCAAAGCTTTCATTATTGTCACTCCATCAGGGTGCATTTTCACTTTGGCTTTGCAACCAATTTTCTTTCGTGAGCAGTACCAGTTGCCCTTGCTGACTTGTGCAAAAGTGAACCCTCCGAACATGAGCAACATGTTATTGAAATTAGTCGGTATGAAGATGGGATCTAAAATAATTTTAATAGTTATTATTGAATTTTATTGTTTGTTTCCAAATACATTTTATACGAAGATTTCTAAAAACTAAAGAACCAATATTCTATTGCATACAAATATTTATTGGACACCATCCTACATAAAATACTGATAAAATAGATAGTACACAATCATTTATAAGTTAATAAAGATAAACTGGATGGAAATAGAAAGAAAACTGAGTTCGAAATGATTATAAAGAAGTTCAAAATGTCAAGTAACATGTCTACATGAGCTCAAAATGTCTAACACTTTAACGATATATGTTATTTTGGTACAATTATATTATGATTCACTTATACATAAAAGTCTGCTCTTTAAATATAAGTACTACTATATAGGTTATTCTCAAAGTTTCAGCTACTGAGTTGGCCATTGAAATATTTCATGTTGAAATTAAAATTAAAATTTTAATACTCGTGACTTTTGCCTCAAGAAAATGTATTCTCCGGTTTCAGTGACATAATAGTCTGGTGGCTCATGATTGTGTGTCTTGCAGGCTTGTATGATGGTAACAAAGTCCAGGTCCATCTTGATCCTGGCTCTGCAGCCAACCTTCTTTTTTGAACAGTACCAATAACGTTTACTTCTCGATTGGGCAAAGGTATAGCCTTCCAGCATCAGCAACTGGTTCTTGATTCCACTTGGTATTAGAGTATAGCCTAAAATATTGTGCATTAATTGAACAATCAAATTAAATACTACACAATATGGTTAATTATTTCAAATATAACAAATGAAGGAGTAACGGAGGATGGGAGGAATTGAAACGGAAGGTATCATACACAATGAACATAAGATATCAAAGTTATGTTTGGGCATATTAAAAAGCTTTCAAAGTATTACTGATTTCAATTCCCAATTCCCAAAAGGCGGCTAACGCACTTTCGGGTATGCAAGGGCGGCGCACATTGCGTACCATCAGGTGATCCGTCTGCTTGTTTACCGGCTTATGCTATAAAAAAATCTCAGCAGTAGCACGGAGCCTGGAATTGTGCCCAGTATATGGCAATAGGCATGACTATTTCCATGGGGCTTATAACATAAATTGTGAAAAGTGAGTGTTAGATTGTACTGTGACATTAAGTTATTAAATATAACAATCAATAAGACATAAAGACATTAAGTAATACAAGGAGGAGGCATCTTTTATCTTTCATCTTTTATCCCCGAAGGACTACTTCTTCGGGAATAAAAGGAGTAATGTTTTATGTAAATAAAAAGCTTTCATTGTTGTCACTCTATTAAGGTTTATTTTCACACAATTTGCTTTCGTGAACAGCACCAATTGCCCTTCTTGACTTATGCAAAATTGAACCTCCGAGCAGGAGCAACATGTTCTCCAAACAAACTAGAATAACAGTTGAAATCAATTGGCAATTATTGGAGTTCATTTGGCTACTTACCAAATAACCTTCATTGGATTTTTTTTAGAAAAACAAGAAGCAATATTTACATAATGTATTGCACACCATTTTACAACAAATACTGATAAAATAGTTACATAGACAACCACAAATAAGTTAATAATAAATATCCACAAATAATAGAGTTCGAAATGATTATAAAGGAGTTCATTTGTCTAGTACCATAGTATGGGGACATGAGTTTCTGTGTAAAATATGACGGATATAAACCGTGTTTTTTTTTGTTTTCGTCCAACAAAATAACTTACCATAAGGAGTAGTACATAAGGAGTATACTTTCAATGTATAAGATGTGTAAAAAACAATTTAGTTAACTAACTAAAATCGCGGGTTACTCGCGTGAATATACTGAGAAAAGCTCTACTAGTTTCGAACCACAGAGGGGTTCTTCCTCATGAGCAGCGTGCGCGGTCGCGGCGACGTCGCGTAGCCCAGAGAGCTGCTTCTAGAGACTAACTAGTAAGAGCTTTTCTCAGTATTAATATTAATTTAGTATGTCTTACGATAGTTATTATAAAAACAATTATTTAGTTTGAAAAAAATTGATGGTAATACGCACATTACATGAAAATTAAATGGTACTTCGAAAATCAAAAGGAGCCATGTTTGATAAAGTAGTCGGGCCGAAAACATCGAAAATATAAGCTATTTTGGTATAATTTAAAGTATTTTTGTTTATTTTAAAGTGAATCTTATAGTTTGATTAAGATTAAGGTCAAAAGTCCACTGCCGCCGTGAGTGATGTTCACACGGCAATACGTAAGTAATTTCATATTAATGTGCATAATAACGCGTGCGTACGCATAAACACATGCACGCGTACGCACACGGATAAAAATATCGTGTGAATTTGTGTATAAGCGCTGCAGCGCAACCGTTAGTAGTCTTACAGGGGCAGTGGACTTTTGACCTTTGACCGTACATATGTATAGTACAATATTCAGGTTATCCTTATTAGTTTCAAGTTCGAGTGTTTTAACCGATAACATTAAATTTTTTTTTATTCTGTTACCGCAAACATGCAATACTTTATTTATTATATAGGAGTCTTAATATTACACTTCTTATTGAAATAAATAATTAAAACTAAAATATTTACACCTTAAAAAATAATAATAATGAAAAAATCATAAGGCATCAAAGAAAACATTTTCCTCGTCGCTACCGTGAGGTAGGGTGCCCAAAAGACTCGCAGCATTGCCACGTTGAATGGCAAAGCTTAACCTTTGCCCAAGGTAGTAGCCAGCCCGTCGATCACATTAAATATTAGTTTATATTAAATTAAAATTTAATTTTTAACGTTTATTACCCGGGACTTATGTCTCAAGAAGACGTATTCACCGTTTTTAGTCACGTAATATTCAGGTGGCTCATGATTGTGTATCCTGTAGGCTTCTATGACGGTAACAGAGTCCACGTCCATCTTGATCCTAGCTTTGCAACCAGCCTTCTTCTTGGAGCAGTACCAATGTCGTCTGCTGTGCATCTGTGCGAAGGTATACCCACCAAGCATCAACAGTTCGTTCTTTTGCCCTGACGGTATTAGGATGTAATCTAAAACAAAAATAAATATTCAAACCAGAAATGTGTATAAAATAAGATGAGGCATATCGCTGTTTTTGGATATGTTAATATGATCGTAATTAATCAGAGGAGTATTTATATCATTTCTAGGTATACACAGATAAATTATAAAAAAATACAATTGATTATTTGAATAATTAATTGTATTACTATTTCAGATTTTAATTATGAAATTAAACTAAGCAAGAAGAAAATCAAAACATAAAGCAAAAATTGCATAATATAACAACAACATCAAAAAAAAATTCTTCTTACATCTAAGTACCTATGTTAGTATATAATATAGGAAAAAAAACACACATTCAAACAAAGAAAAAAGAAGAAAGAAAATGTATATCACATACATATAAGATGCCTATATTATACTATATATAACGTTATATATTAATTATTAAGTATGATATTATAATATTTTTTATTTTATTCTTATTTATTGCATTACGAGCCGGTACCAGCGACTTCGTCCGTAGAATGTGATTCCTGTTTTACCCCATAGGAGCATTTAATCAGTATAAAAATATCACCTAAGTCAGCCATCACAGATGGGGCCCAGTAGGGCTGATCCCCGTTACGGACCCGCGGAAGGCCTTACGGGTTGCCCGGGCTCCAGCTTGAAGAGCAGGAATAGGAAATTAAGGCAGTAAAGTCTGACACTACCCTCGCCTCAACAACGGAGAAGACATTGATAATTTAGTAACCTTTGAAATGATAGCATTTCGATGTAAAAGGAATATTTTTTAGTGTAGAATTAGTGCCTATGCATTTTAAAAGAAATGATATTTTCCGTTGTGTGCCACCACGTATTTTTTTGGTTCATGATTATGATTATTGAAATAGGATGATATTTTTCCTCTTTTCACGTTCATCGTGACTCGAGCCTTGCACTTTAAAGCAGACTTTTGTGAACAGTACCAATTTCTTCCACCGTTCATTTGTGAAAATGTATAGTTTCCTATCATCATCAAATTGTTTTTTGCACCAGTCGATATAAACTTAAAATCTGTAAACAATAGCATTATTTTATTATAAGTTTCGTGAGACATGTACTAAATCATTAACGAGGAACTAGACTGGTTTCAAGCTAAGTTAGGGGCTCATATTCATTCCGGAACACAACGCAGGTGCAGAATGCTACTCAAGAATATGAGCCCATAGCACGGCTTGAAACTAGTCGAGTTCATCGACAAACAGTTATGTGAGTGAAAAATATATATTAAGGCGTATACAATACGTATAATATGTATAATTTTATTATATAAGGAGAAAATTCAATAAGAAAACAGTTGATCGAAACAAAACTTTATTTCTAATACAAATAACCGAATTTGGTTACGTAGGTATTATAAATTTTTATTGAGATACATTTCACATTCAACGCAATATTATGACAATATTTTGACCTACAACACAAACATACAAAAATGCAGAGTAACAATAAAATCATACAAAGTATGAAAAAATACTTTTCAGTTGTTTTTATTTCACACTTTAATCATATCCACTTGGAACACAGTTGAAATGAAAAATAATAAGAAAACTTGCCATATTCCGTGCCGGGTATCATAAATATATACTTATCTATATTAACATGTAAAGCTGAAGAGTTTTGTTTGACCGCGCCAATCTCCTGAACTACTGGCACGAATTGAATAATACTTTATAGTGGATAATAGATAATCAGCTTACCGAGGAAGGCTATATGGCGTGATGTGATGTGTACCAACAAGAGCAGAACTGCGGGTGAAACCTCGCGGGACAAACTAGTATTAACTACCTAGTTACCTATACAAAAAGCATAATTTACGCGGAAACCTTAATATAAAACCCTTGCCTAGTCAACTTATATACTGGAGCATTGTGATTATGTTCATTATTATAAAAAATAATCTGAGAGTCGTCCTTATTTAAAAATATCCTTGCTTTGCATCCCTTGCTTTTTTTAGAACAGTAATAATGCCTTGGAGTCGTTTGAGCGAAGGTATACCCATCAGCCATTAGCACTCTCTTGTTACCAGCCAGATTTATGAATCTTACTGAAAAAAAAATATGATAAAAGAACCTAAAATAACCGATATTAAATTTCGAAAAATTCTGCTGTATTTTTTTTTTTGTTGTCATGTCATGAAAAGACCAATACCAAAGAGGTAACATTCCATTCACTTTCAATATGTTTTTAAAATAAAATTAAAAAATATAAGTACTAAGTAATATTTAAATGCTTTATTAAATGCGTAACATTAATATTTGGGAATAGAACATAACTATTTATAAGAAGTTTCTAGGAAATTAGCATGTATGACAATAGTTGTATTTGTATATGATAATTTCAAGGAGGAAAGCACGGCTAAATTGAGTACTTGTCACTTAGCATGTGTCGAAATGTTGCATGCTTGCTTTTTAACATTATCAAGCATGTTCACCAGCATAGCACGCTATTTAGCATGCTATTTTAGAGCATGTGTAACAGTACCATAATAGTTTTAATTTTACTTTTATTATTAGTTTTATATACTTGGTATTTATATTATAATAAGGAATAAGGATACAAGGTTTTAACAATAATTATGATATTTTATACCAAACATACTCATAATAGTAAGGTTTAATGCTAATGTCCAACCGGCAGCTAAAATTAGTTAAGAGGTGAGCCTATTGCATACACCGAGCATTATTCCGGACTCCGTGGTACAACTGAGTTTTTTTTTAAACCCTAGTAATTTTCCCTTGCCCGGCTGTCGCACTTGCGAGTCTTGCGACCACTCGGCAGACGAGTCATGGCAGCATGTATGAAAAACTGGCTTAACTATGCAAGCTAACTTATTTTAGCTGTCAGTAGACGTTCCTCTTAAGCATTAAGTATGTAATTGTATGTTTTTATTATGATAACATGTTAAGTTATAATGCTTAGATGCTAATCAGAAGTGTCCGTATCAAAACATTGTTCAATTGTACATTTTTCTCTGTATCTTCTTGAATTATTTTTCCACTGAGCTCGTAATTTAAGTTGTTCTTCTTCTGTCAAATCATATATAGATTTCGGTTGGATAATATTCTTCTTTTTCTTGTGATAATACTCTCTATCTTTAGCTTTCTTTAGTTCCCTCTGTTCTGGGGTCAGATTATTCAGATATAATCGTTTTCTTGCATTGGCTACTTGCCTATGTCTTATGTATGCGGGACTAGACTTATCCAATTTCTTTTTGGGCCTTTTTGTCGTGTTTGACTTTTCAATTTTTACAGTAACATTACAGTATGGACCTAAAAACACAAGATGGCTGTTATATCAATTCCAAGTGCGTATTTTGATTTGCTATACGATTTTTGATTAAAGACACCTAATGTATTTTAACACTTACACATACAAAAGCCAGTTTTTTTTTTCAGAATATAATTAGTTGCGAACTTCGGGTGTATGTCTGAAATAACCTTTTCAGTTTCAGACCACACATGGTTTAGGTATAAATGATTTAAAAATCAAAATTATTTCAAGATTTTATTTTTGGAAATTATGTTCAAACAACCTATATATAATTCTCTATATATATTTTTTAAGAATAAAATAGACGTTTTTACGCAACATACTACATCCGAACTCATAATCATAATCTACTCACATAACATCCAAAATCGCTTTTTTATACATACCTTTACCTATCTATAAAAGTCAAAAATATGTTTTTGGGCATCACAAAAATAAACGTCTTGACTTTAATATTAAACTTTAAAATAAAGACCATTTTTCGTTTGTTTATAGACAGGAGGATCATGATCATGTTCGTTATATATCGAGATGATCTGAGACTTATCTTTATTAAGCACTAATCTAGCTTGACAACCCTTAAACTTTTTCGAACAGTAGTAATAACGGGGTTTGTACTGCGAAAATGTATAATTCTCCACCATTAACAGTGTCTTGTTATTACTCAATAGTTGTATAAACTTCGGATTGCCTGTAAAAAAATGACACATTAACATAACATCACGCCTACCCCTATATGGGTAGGTTACATGCACATTACGGTACTTAATGCCAATGTACCATGTAACACCCTCTTTCACTATTTCTATGTTATAAGTCACATTTAATAGAGGGTGAGCTTGATTGCCATATACTGGGCACAATTCCAGACTCCGAGCTACCACTGAGATTTTTTTACGTCATAGCCTACCTATAGTCATAAATAACAAGTTATTGATCTTGTTAAAAAATTAACCATTGGTATTTAACAAGTTTCGAAGCCCCACCTTCATGTTTGAGCGAACATTTTCGGCCATCACATTATGTATTAAATTAAAAGTTCTATTAGGATGATTAATAAAAGCAATTATAAAGTGCAATTGTTTACTTAAATACAATACATATGTGGAAATTATAAATCCTATAATTCTTTACATGATCGAAAATACATATTGTTAGTTTTACAACATAATAAAGTTGCACACAAATCGGTTAAGCCGTTTCTGAGACTAGCACGCATAAACTTGGAGCCAACCGTAAGAAGACAAGATATGTAATTGAAATATTAGATACGACTGTGTTAAGAAAAATAATTAGAATTTCACTGTAGGTCCAGGAGATGGTGGTCTTGTGGATGATGGATAGTGATGAAGTTTCTTGCTCGTTCTTCTCCATAGGAATCTACATACCTCTATAGGACTGAGCAAATAGCTTCACCTTTTAATTTTTATGTTGACGTTCAAAAGTGCCTTTCTGGTCTTTCAATTAGACCAGGACCATTGGATTCACTGGAAAACGCCAAATGTCAACCCATCCTACTAATACAATCAATGTGAAAGTTTGTCTGTTTGTTCGTTCGGTTTTTACTCCTTTACGTCCAAACGGCTGAAGGGATCGAAATGAAATTAGAAACAGGGATAGATTATGATCTGGAATAACACATAGACCTTTTTATGCCACAGGAATGTGTGCAAAGCAGTTGGTAGAAGTGAGTCAAGTGGTGGATCGTCATTTGGCGTAGCTAAGTAAAGGAGACAACTTTATTCTTTTTTAAAACGTTGCCCTAGACTAGAATTTTCTCCTGTGTGAGTGCGTTTACAAACATACAAGTTCACACACAATGACCCGAAATAACAACTTCGTATATCACTCAAAGAGCTGCTCCGTCCGAAACCGCTACACGTTGCGCGGGAGCCAGTAGCCCAGACATCGCACCAACCGTGCAGTCAGCTTTATCCAATAGTATAAATAATATCTTCTGCCTGATCCGATGGCCGATCATGACAATCAAAGTGCTATAATATTCCTATTATATTTTAATATATACGCCATTAATACACGTGTATTTGGGCGGTTCATGGTTATGTGAATTCTTCATAACAAGCAATGCCCCATCATTGTCGAGCACAATCGCAGCTTTACAGCCAAATCCCTTTTTCGAACAGTAGAAGTATCGTGGAGCATACTGACTGAACGTATACCGCTGGTACATCAGCAGCTTTCTTTTACTCCTCATATTTAAGAAGAACGGTTTTTCTGCGAAGGAAGAATAAAGTCAGTCAGTCACAAAACATTATGTTTTAAAGAAATATTATTCCAAAGGTAAGTTCCAGATTGAGTTCCAGTTCCAAAGGTTAGCTTCAAAACTTACCGTCTTTTCATTTGTCCTATACCTAACATAGTCATCAAAATACAGGAAATGTTTTGTTATTAATTCATAAAAGCAACAACGTGATAGGGTGTACTAAAAACTAATAGAAAAATTGATCTATAGGTACATATTTATTCACCCACGTAAATATGAAATTCATGAACACAGAACACTTTTTGCAAACATAAAAATAGTATATTATTGTTATTTTCTACTTCATTGCACATATACATAGAAATTAGTTTAAATTGTAATAGTAATTTGAGTACAATGGGCTCTTATGACACGCGATTTCATCAAAACAACCTTTGGATGAAATTTTTGAAAAAATACTGGGAATAATATAAAAAGAAAAAAGAAACAAAAAATAGAAGAGAAAAATAAATTAAACAAACAAAAAAATTTTCAAAGCACATAAATAAATATTAAAATGATATGAAAAATATACATATGA